GTTTTGTTACGGCCTGCCATTTCTCTGTTTGGTTTCTCCTTATTACATCTGCATTTATTTTGTCTCTTTTTCGGATGGTCTGGTTACAGCGGTTTGCTTTTTTCCCACTGGGCTGACTGCTCCTGCTGAGGAGCTAGTCACACAGCTCCTCTCGGCATGCTGGGAAAAGTGGCTCAGCAGGGAGACCAGTTTCAGGGCAAAGGGTGGAGCGAATCTTTAATGGCCACAGGTGCTCGGGAGCTTGGATAGATCGCACCCGAAGCCAGAGACATACCTTCCATGCGCTTTCTCCACTCCCACTCTGGCAAAAACAAAAAGAGAAACGTGTTTAAATCCGAGAGGTTAAAGAGGACACGTTACGTTACACTTGTCCCTGAACCGTGGTGCTTTTGAAGTGAATTGAAGTGGAACAGGCAGATGACTGCGGCACAATTACTGTACTTTGGCCTGTGGGAAAAGCACTGTAAGCTTGTGCTGGTCGCGGTTAAAAATAAGGATTAAAGAAACTTCTCTCAAAGCTCCTAACAGACCGAGGATACGTTTTCACTTCGTACTGTAAACACAAACTCGTCCTAGCAAGTGGTAGCAGGAAAGAGGTTGCCTTTACTTCCCAGTGAAAACAAACCGCCAATGTTAAAATTGAAGACTATAGTAAAACTTGACACAAAGATCATAATGAGATTACAAGTGGTACACGGGTTTTCAGCATCTTACCTATTAAATTGGGTGCTGCCGAATTGTGAAACTCTGCTGAAAATCAAATCAGAAGAAGAAGCTGCATCATTCAAAAGCTTTTTGAATTTTGTGTTGAAAATTAAAGCCAGAACTATAAAGCAAGTCACAATTTCTCTTTTTTCATGAATTAAAAGAATGATTTTTGACTTACGATCATCCCCGGTTTTGATGGTTTTCACCCTTGAGTCTGAAACAAACCACACATCATTGATACTGTCATAACCTTATAGTACAACTGTCCAAACAAAGCTTTTTATTTAAATTAATGTCTTTTTTTAATGAACTGCAAAGCCCCTAAGGCAATGTGTCAGTTCCAACATTGCAGTTTTCCTATCGATCCATTCACCCAGATGAAGAACAGTTGTTCCTGGATTTATATAGTGCCATTCAAGATCATAATTAAGGCATTACCAACAACACCAAAAATAATAATATCAGTAATAATCCATTTTATAAACACGTCGTCCAATTCAGGGAGCTGGAGCCTGTCCTGACAAGCAGTGGGTGCAAGGCAGGGTACACCCTGGACAGGACAGCAGTCCATCACAGGACACACACAGACACACACCCTGGACAGGACAGCAGTCCATCACAGGACACACACAAACTCACACACCCTGGACAGGACAGCAGTCCATCACAGGACACACACAGACACACACCCTGGACAGGACAGCAGTCCATCACAGGACACACACACAC